TCTGATTGATTTTCTTGGTATTGTAGATCCATGATGTCTGTCGTTGTGTTTCTCTTGAAATCAATTCGTCTTCTTGGGCACTCATTCTTGATTCTTTTGCCAAAATGATGGATTGTTTTCTGGGAAAAGCTGGTTTCAGAGCTGTTTCCTCAAATGCTGCTTTTATTAAACCAGCTATGGATTGCTTGGAAACGTTAAGGTTTGTTGGTTGGCAGACTTTTGTTTCTTGCATCGTTAACCACAGTCCTTCTCCATTATGCAAGTTTGCCACACTGAACATTTTACAGTCAGTGGAGACTTCTTTTTGTACCCTTTGTTATATGGTTGACATTTTCTTTCCCAGGTATCTTGTTGGTGCCCCCCACAGAAAATACTCCCTGTCAGATAATATTCAACTGGTGAAATTTCTTCTCCAAATCACGTCTTGCTCACACACGCACTTGATTTCATTTTGCCGTTCAAATGGAAACCAAAGATCTGCTTTTGAGGTGGGCAAGAAGTCATCCAGACACTGTAGCTTATGGGAAGTTCAGACTACCGTCTTTACCATGCTTGCTGATGCATTTTCAAGAGCTGGTTCTTCTTTTCCAGTTGAAATTTGGCAATCAACAATTGAGGTATCTATTCTTGTTTTCTTACTTACTACTTGCTAGCATCCATGTAATGATTTACTTAGATTGTGTGTTTTGACTTAGGTTCTTAGGAAGATGACTGATGTTTTGGTATCTAAGAACTTGGTCATGGAAGACAATGTCATGTCAAGGTATCATTCTCTTCATCACTTCTGGTTCACCAGCAAAGTTGGAAGTAGAAACGAAAAAAATATGAACTTTGAAAGGTTGTCTTTTCCTCTTCAATAATTACCCTTACTAAAGAATGGTGATATTTCTGCCATGCAGGTTTTATGCATCTCTTCTGCATTGTCTTCATTTGGTCCTTGTGGATCCAAAATGTTCTATTTCTGAGCATGTAAGTCCATTCCTTAAAGCTTTAGGGCTCAATATCAAGTCATGGGTATTTATCTCTGTAGTTTTCTTTACAAGATGCTTTATGTTAAACGTACTTCCAGGTGTCTGGTCTTGTGGCATCATTGAAGATGTTTTTCATTTACGGCCTTCCGAGCAGACCTCAACTTTCATGTCCCCCAGTTGGTCACAAGAGCAAGGAACTTGGTCTACCAAGTCTTAAGTTGAATCCAGAAGAGCCTAAAAGAACAGAAAATACTCCATATAGGCCTCCACATTTGCGCAAAAAAGACAACCTAAATATGGAGGGTAGAGCTCAGAATGCTCAGAGTTTGTCTGATCATGAATCTAGTACAGTTGATGTTACATCATCAGATTCAGATTATAGTGACAGTGATGGATCACTTAAAGATGCTGAGAGTGATAGAAGCTCTAAGGTCAGAATAGCTGCCATCACTTGCATACAGGTAATTTCTAAATATCTTTGGTTGTCCCTACTGTAGTACAAGGAAACTTTGAAGTCTGTTAAATATTGCATTTGATGTAGGAATTATCAGAAATACTCACAGGAAGCTAAAAGGAGGTTACCTAAACCTAAGCCAAGAGCACATAATTATGCAACTAGATCCAGATCTATCTAGTCTTCTAAATCAAAAATTATCACGTGAGTCAATATTATGAAGGATTATAAACTCTAAAACTGGAAATCATCAAAGGGAGTGATTTATGTAGCTTGTGTTTCTTATGCTTGCATAAAATTAGCCTTGGAGGAGTTACATTGTGGTATTCCGGCCACCATAATTTAGTATATAAGATAAGTCGTATTTTTATGCTTCCTAATTTAATGGAAACTTATTTGATCCCTTTTAAACCTTTTATTAGAAGGCCGTCAAGTGCATTGTCTGCTGCATATTGTGATATTGCCATTTAGATTAAGTAAAGATGATCAAGCCAGTAGTGCTTGAAGTTATTAAGTAGTTATCTGTTTATTCTATAAATATGTTGTTCACTGTTAAACATGTTAACTGAGACTATCCTCTACCCTTTCTGCATTTTGGTTCTGTTTTATATATCTTTACTGTGGTGTACCTTGGCATTGCACTTTATTTACTTGGTGTTATCTTTGACCCCATGTGTTCTGGAACCCATTCTCTTAGTTTTGCCCTTCATGGTTTAGTTACTCTGGTAGGATATACCTAGTTGCTGAGAAAAGACATCCTAAAATAATTCATGGTTCATTTCTGGTATGGAGAGAAAAAACTTCTATTGAATAAAAATTGACAATGAATACTTCAAACGTTGACACCTCAATTTTTGTGGTTGCAGGATCTTTGTCAAGCTGACCCAAAATCTTTCACAACTCAATGGACCATGCTTTTGCCAACCAATGATGTACTGCAACCAAGGTTCAAAATCTTATTGTTTTTGAGTTACTTTGTCCATTGATTCTCATTTTGCAAATTGTCTTGTTCTTCCACCTACTCATGTTGTTTGTTGCAGGAAATTTGAAGGAACTCTAATGACTTGCTTGCTATTTGATCCCTACTTAAAGGTATTAGCTGGTCATTTGTAGGTCAGTTTTCCTCTAGAATTTATTTATTGTCAAGGTCTCATGATTAATTGATCTAATAATCAGTTTAGTTGTGATGTATGAAGTGTAAATATTTCCTTCTCTCCTGTTCACACCATTTCTGGAGTTCAGGGATTTTCTTATGGCTATGAATTAGTGAATTTACCCCAGTAAATGCTCCTAGCTAAGGTATTCTACTTGGTGCTACCCAGGCAAGGATTGCATCTGCTTCAACTCTTGTGGCCATGATGGATGGGCCTTCATCTATTTTCCTGCAGGTAGCAGAATATAGGGAATCTTCTAAATGTGGATCTTTTATGGCACTTTCTAATTCCCTTGGTCACATACTAATGCAACTTCATACTGGTACATGAAAAATTTTCTGTTCAGTCTGTTTTCTTTGCAGATAATGCTCCCTTTTAGTTCTTTATCTTTTTGTTTATTGTTCTCAATTGTTTGTGCTTCTTTTCTCTATGATGTAGGTACTCTCTACTTAATCCAGTGTGAAACAAATAGTCGATTGTTGGTGTTGGTGTTCAAGATTCTCATGCTTTTGATATCATGTACACCGTATGTTTGCCTCTCTATTAAAATGTTCACAATTTCCCTCTGCTTTTCTAGCTGAAAATTTATTTATTTATATATTTATTTATTGTTTTAGTTAAAGCTGAATTTAGTTTCCCACACATTTAGCTGACTCATTAAAAGTTTGGCTTGCTTTTGCCTCACATTTAAGACTACTAATCTATAGTAAATTTAAATAATGAGAACAAAAACCTATTCAAAACAAATTGTTTAATGGTGAAATAAAATTATGAACCACCTTTCATGGATGATGTTTTCTTATGACTTTTTCTCTCTCTTCTTTCCTGCCAATATTTGGGCTACTGTCTGCAACTATGATGGAGGCTAATGATATGATTTTTAAGTCTGTATATTCTAAAATGGCATTCAGATCTTTCTTCTCACTGTCTTAATACAGTTTATTGCAAATTTGAGATTCCCTGAACTTTGGAGCTGTAATAAACTTCATTGATAAATCAAAAGGAGTATGTTTCTTGTGTCAAAAGAGCCCGCAATGCATCAGGGGGGCAGTGAGTCTAATTCTAAGGGTTTCTATTAGCTAAAGATTGCTTTGCAACCTGGTTTGCCACCAAGTTGGCTTTCCTGGATACATATACAAAGTTGTAATGATCAGAAGAAGATAAGTCCTAATATCCTGTATAATAGGAAAAACTTCCAATGGTTCAACTGCAACCTTCCTATCAATTTGCTTGCATCTCTATCATATCATCAGTTGCAAAGTTGATTCTCTGTATGTGGTGAAGAAAAAGGTGACTCTAGGAGTATAGATACTTTTAAATGCCCAAAGAATCTTTCTCATGATGTTCATGCCTTCATTAATTATGCTTTATCTCCATTTAGCTTGTGGAAAGACCCCATAAATTTGTACCTAATTTTGTTGCAAATTTGTTGAGTTTTATTCCATAGATATTCAAGAATGCCACAAGGGTTGTTGCCAAAAGTAATCACATCTCTACAAGCAAGGATTGAACGGGGGTTTCCATTCAAAGGTGATCAGACTGGTCTGCTGGTTAGTTTTATCTTGATCAGTATGGTTTTCCTTTTCTACTAGGGTTTATGGATTGGTTGAGTATAGGGGTTATGCAGATATTTATTTAGTAATGTTACTTCTTTTGCAGGCTGCTGCTTTTAGTTGCTTGACTGCAGCTCTATCTATTTCACCTTCACACCAAGTCAATGAAATGCTTTTGGAAGAAATATCAAGAGGTCAGCATACTTCTCTCTCTCTAGTGTGTGCGTGTGTGGTGTATGTGTCCACACTTAAAGGATCTCTTTAAAAAAAAAAATTAAAAAAAAATTCTGGCTGGCTTTTTCCTCCATCCTCTTCTTTAATTGGATTGTCGATGTCTATGTTGAATATTCTGTTTTTTAATATTGGTTTTAGTTGGCAGAATACCCAAATCCACCCCCAAAGTATAATGGTAAGGACGGATCCACCCCCAAACAAAAAATGAGGACAAATTCACCCACAAAGTTTTCAACTTGGACAAATCACCCCCAATTTAATGTGTGACATCATCTGACGTCAGCAATCCGTTATTAGCAACATAACAAATTAACGGATTGCTGACATTAGATGATATCACACGTTAAATTTGGGGTGATTTGTCCAAATCAAAAACTTTGTGGGTGGATTTGTCCTTGTTTTTTGTTCGGGGGTGGATCCGTCCCTGCCACTATACTTTGGGGGTGGATTTGGGTATTTTGCCGTTTTAGTTTTTCATTGGAGAAATTCAGCAGATGCATTCAGTTCCAGTTTAGCACTAAAGATATTAATTTTAAACAATGATTTCTGCTAACTTAAAAAAAATTTTAGACCATGATTTCACATACTCATATTAGGCTTTTTTTGTTTTTTTGTCAATATTCTGTCACCCTCACCCATAGAACAAATATTTGCAAATTGTGACCCTGGGAAATTTTTTGAAGTCAAGTCTTCTTCCAGGTTTTGTTGAGACTGAAAGGAGGTCAGGTGTTCTATCTACGTTATTTCTATATTCAGAGCACCTAAGCAACCCTACAATATGCTTTGAGGCTCTCCAGGCAAGATCTTAGTGAAGCTAAAAGTACTTTTTTTGTTGGCTGAATATGATTAATGGTACAATTATTCTTGATGCTTTTCCTCAATAGCAAGGAGAAACGACTTGTATGTTATAAAAACTGTGAAGGGTTGCAAATCCAATGCAACCTAAAATCAAATGGTGTAAGTTGGATAGGCCTGATTTGATTAAATGACCAAAGAAATCTTTAAAGTAAACTGTCGGATAATGTCATGACTTATTACTAAATGACCAAAGAAATCATTAAAGTAAACCATCAGATAATGTCATGACTTATTACTACCTCACTCATGTTTGAGACCGATAGAATAATGAAAACAAATGGACCTATCAGGCAGACTCTGAAAATATGGTGATATTATAAAGAAATAACTTAAGATATTGATTCATGGTTGATTTTGGGCCAATCACACTAGAGATGGAGAAAGTTGCTTTCAGGATCATAAAATGATTTTTCCAATAAGATTTTGTTGTTCTAGTGAGAATATTATCTTTTGTTTATCATATCTGACACGTATCATGCCTTGCAGACCCTTAGAGCTTTGTCGCACAATTACCCAAACTTAATGTTAGAATGTTGGGGAATAGTTTCTGCCACTGTTTATACCTTTTTTAAAGAAGCTACTGCAGAAGTTCCGACAAAGTCATGGAAAGAACACACTGGGAGCACAGTTTGGTTTATTGGGGAAAAAATCATTACAGCTGCTGTAAAGGTAATTGTCTGTTGCTGATCTTCCAACACATGCGTACACACATAATTTTCCATGTATTATGCTTTGTGTTGTATTCATCTTAGCTCGTCAAGATTTCATGATTAGAAAAGTCTTCTTGCATGTGCAAATACACTTGGGGTGTTTTGTCGATTTACTGGATATTCTTTTACTTTGACATGTGAAATTTGTTGTATGCCAAGACAGATGTTATTAGATGTGTTAGACTTAGCTTGTAATTAATATTCTTAAACTCTTGCCTCCACGTTCTTTCTTTCATTCATCTTTTAAATGAACTAGTCATGCTTGGTTAAATCTTATTGTCAGTAAAAGTTGCTTAATCCAATAATTTTTTTACAAAAAATTTTATTCATTAATCAAACTGTTGAATTTAGTATTCTATATATGTTGATTATTTGTGCCAACTTTCCTCTTTTTTTTATTTTTTATTTTTCGATATGCCATCACAATCTCATGGCATAATTTTGTTTGTCCCGAAGTCAGAACTTTAAAGAAATGCTTCCATACTTGGTTGAGAACTTTTTAGGTCACAATGAGGAAATGAATCCTGAACCATTAGTTTAGAAAAGACTTTCAAACCACATTACAAAGGATGGAGAGGTGTTGATGTTGTCATGTGGCTCTTTAGCTCTTTTGGATTGATTGACTAGAGGCAAAAGAGTAAAACTGTAAAAGAGACAGATATTGTTGCTCAAATATTCTGGTAATAATAACTGAGGATTTGATTGATGTGTTTGGAAAGCTTAATTGGTGGACTGTTTCTTATAGTATTTGATGATTTAGTGACTCAAGCAGGCAGAGGGTTGGCTTGGGGCTACAATTTGAGACAGAAGGTTCAAGGTTGCTAATCCCGAAAAGAGTAACCATAAGCACTATAGCAAAATAGAGAAGAAGGAAGAAAAAATTGAAAGAAAGAACTGAGAAAAAGAGATCAGGCAATAAATAACTCAGGAAATTATCTGAATAACTTTATTCTTATAGAATTAAATTATAGTAACTTTACAAGCGTAAAGCAGTATCTAAAAAGGCATCTTAGTGCTAACTCTAACTGTGTATCATTCTTTGATTCTCTTTCGTATTTATGTGTGTTTTTTTTTAACTGCATATTTGCATTCAATAGGATGCAGATATATTTTTTTATATTCACTTTGGGAAGAACTACTCTGGTGTGGGTAGTTGCATGTAAATTGTAATCAAAGAATGTTTCCATTTCTGATTCCGCTTTCCTTCCCCAGCTTTTAGTACATTTTGTTTCATTCCTGAGTTTTGTTCTTCAGGTTTTGGATGAATGCCTCCGTGCAATATCTGGATTTAGAGGAACTGAGGATCATTTAGATGACAAATCGTTTGATGCTCCATTTGTTTCTGATTGCATAAGGACAAAAAAAGTATCATCTGCTCCCTCATATATACCAGGGAGTCTAGAAGACACTAAAGAAGAACAAAGGGCATGGCAATCAGGAAGTGAGCAATGGGATGAGACAATTGAAAAGCATATGCCACTCATTCTAGGGCATAATTCTGGAATGGTTAGTTAGATTCTTCCTCTTTTGCATTGTTTTTGGGATAAAAAGGGTATTTGGACCTTTGAGCCCTTGTCCCATGATCACCCACAAACTACCTTATTCGGGCAAGGTTCCACCTAAGGGTAGCAGGTGTGGCCCGCTGGAATTGTTGTTTACCAAAATGGTGATGGAGGGATTTGAACCCATGGTTCTTGGTTCGTATCACTCCTTACCACTTTGCCAATTCCAGCGTAAAAGAACATTTAAGAACATTCAGTTTCTTGCATCTGGATTGAGTTGAATTTGTCTGTGCTGTACTTCTTGCAGTTGGCATTATGTTGGTGCTAAGTTTTTCTACTTTTGTCGAGAAGACACTAAACCTTGCTAACTTGTCTTTTTTGCCATTTTTATTTTTTGTGTGCTTTGGGTGTGTATAACCAATCAAGAATATTCTGCATCTATTAAGGTGGGGGATGCATGATGTTTATTTTGTAGCATTTCTGGTGGATTTGTATTTAAGTTGGTACTTGGGTTTCTCCATTTACCACTTACTGGTAGTAGGTCCACAGGGATTAGAATGGTCAGGTAGAAAAGTTGTTCTTCCGCTTATTTATTACCAAATTTTCTTGATTCACATGAGGGGCTTTTTATGGTGAGCTACATCATACATGTGACAGGAAGTGTCAAATAGTTGCCATCCCATTTTTTTTGTTCAGAATTTTTTGTTGCTTTATATTTTCAAGTTGGGCTATCAGACTATCCACCCATTGGTTATTGGTTGGATGCCTTAACAAGTAAGAAGTAACAGTACTAACCACGTTAATGAATTTTATTGCAGACTACAGTTATATGCACTTAGTTTGGTCCTTAGTATCAAATACTTTCTTTTCCTGAAAAGTGTGATTTGGGCTTATATGAAACTTGATATTTCTTTGTATCTCATATTTTATTTCTATTTTTGCAGCTAAGATTGTTTTTGTACTAAATATTACCTGTCTGTGGTACTGAACTGCTTGTTTTATCTCTAAGGTGAGAACTGCATCAGTTACTTGTTTTGCGGGAATCACTTCCTCTGTATTTTTCACCCTCATAAAGGAGAAACAGGACTTCATCATTTCTTCTTTAGTAAGTCCTGATCTGACAACTTTAGTTTTTGATTAAATAGATTGGACCATCAGAATTGGAGCCATAACCTAATGTGGCACTTATCTATGCCCAAGAATAGCTTTTTTGTATATGGAGTAATTTATGTAATTAGTTAATGCCTTTTAGGTTAATGCTGCCACACGTGATGGTGTTCCTTCAGTGCGCTCTGCTGCTTGTCGAGCCATTGGAGTTATTTCATGTTTCCAGCAGATATCTGAAAGGTGACTTGGAAATAGTTCTAACAATTTACTCAAATTAGATTCTTTAACTTAACTACTTCTGTAAGGAAGTATCAATGAAAGTTTTACATAAGTGCTTAAACTGTGTAGTGCAGAGATCCTTGACAAGTTTATCCATGCTATTGAGATCAACACACGTGATCCCTTGGCCTCGGTATTTTTTTTATATATATTTGTATTTCTTGGATTTGATTTAGTTCTTAAAGTGAATATTTTTTTATATGTAACAATCACTTTTGAACGCTTCTTGTTTCAGGTGCGCATAACAGCCTCCTGGGCTTTGGCAAACATATGTGATTCAATCTGTCACTGTATTAATGATTTTCCTTTAAAACAACCTCCAGGTGATTTGAAGCTTCATGGAGTTGTTTTTAACTTGAATACCTAAGAGTAACATTGCTTCAAGTTTTAATATGTATTTTCTCCTGTTATAGGCTCAAGTACAGACTCTCAATTATTGAAATTGTTAATTGATTGTGCTCTTCATCTAACAAAGGATGGGGACAAGGTAAATATTTATACAGGCTATACTTTTATATTAGCTCCCTTTTCTCCCATTCAAGTTTCGTATGAAAGGTAAGGTTGGTGAATGAGACTCTGATGTATGTTTAAAGAGGCTAGACTTTTATATTAGCTCCTTTTTCTCCCTTTCACAGTTCTTATAAGTATATTTACCTAATTGCTAACAAATTCGTGTCTTACTATCTTTCCCTT